ATTAAATACTATTAGCTTAATCTTCAAAGTACATAAACTTGTAGCGAAATAGTACCTTCAACACTAGAACCCCGCAACTGCTGAAATCCATCTGTGTGTTGTGGTCCATGGTGTGCACTGTCCACACATATTTGGATTCCTCCCTTGACCTGTTCCTCAGGAAGTTTCTATTAAAGGATTAAAAGTATTGTTTTAAAACTTTTTTTTCCCTCTGAAAAGACATATCTGTGCAAATTATTCTATATATTACCATCAGTTGCTCAGAATCTTCCTGTTGTATGCATCCTCAGTTCCCATTGGGTCAATTACAGTGAGGAACTTCTCTGCCATGTTCACAACCTTAAGTACTAAGTACTTTCATATTTCATATCAATAAACAGGCTGTATAAGGACTTTCTTTACTATGCTTAATGGTTACTCTACAGAGTCTTGCACAGCCTGCTTAATTTGTTGAAGCCGAGACTTCATTTTTAAATATGTCCACATAACAAAAGAGAGAAAATCTATCAAAGTACTGAGTCATCAGAAATCAAATATTTTGGAAACAGACCACAAGAATCCAATGTGCAATAACATTCACAGGACACAGCCACACATTCTCTGCTGGGAACTTCATCTGTAACAGAAAATATAGAAATATGTACGTTAATAAAGATGAGTTAGGACCTTACATCAAAAGAAATGACTTACTTTCTTAATAGGTGCATCACCTTATGAAGACTTTTAAACTGCCCATTTAAGAAGAGGGAACTTGCCACAACGGTATTGAGATGAAATTTGGCTTCCTGATAAAATGATCAATATATTTGTTAGTGCAAATGTACATCCATAGACCATGTCAAGGAATTTCCATTCAAAAGTAACACACGTGTTGAGTGGTGTTTTTTCCAGGTTGACAAATGTTGTTGTCCTCGAACAATGTGGTGTATGTGAACAGCTGAGTCCTGTCCTGAGGAGTTGGCCCCCGTGTTGCCTAACAGAACTCTTTAACCTTGACCATGACCTGGATGACTGAGAATCTTCATAGACAGAAGTTTAAAATGTTTATGTGTAATGCTATATAACCTTCAGCCCTAATTCATCCAACGTAAGATATTTTAGAATGAAAGATCAACAATGATCACCTGACTTTTTTCTTTGAAATTAAGTATTTATCTCAGAGAAAAGGGCAACTCTGATATAATTTCACACAAAATTCATATAATGAATCAAATTTGCCTTTTTCTCCGTTTTTTGTGTGTGTGTGTGTGTGTAGTTCCAATGCACACAAAGGAAATAAACTGAATATATACCTATAAAAACATGTGTAGTGATGAATAACTCAATGGAAGAAATATTTATTTTCATCGAAAAATGTCAGGGGCCCATACACTTCCATCCAAGTCTGTAGGCCACTATCAGAGACTTGTAAACGAGCTTATGCAATACTATAAACCCTGCGCTAATTTAGTAAGGTACTGTTTTAAAACAGCTGGAAAATCACAGCACTATTAGACATTCGAATTGCATACACATAAGTTTGCAGGCTACATGAGCAAGTTTTATGACTACATGAAAATGACGATAAATGTGTCAAATCGTTCAACTGGTGTCGTGACCCATATTAAAATATAGCAAGAATCTTTCAGCCCCAAGGCTTTACTCTGTGACAGAGATAGCTCTCTCTGTTTCCTATTTACAGTCTGTTGTGGTGGCTGTAAGACTGACCTGTCTCGATTTTTAGGCAGCAGCATTTCCTCTGTGCTCCCATTGGCTCCATACACAGTGAGGAATATGTTGGTATCAGTCCCTGCACACTGGATGTCACCTGTGACAACTGTGACTGAATATATGACCTAGAACACAGCAGAGGAAACAGGTGTACTCACAAGTACAACACACTCATCTTTAAGATGCTGCATGACTCACTTTGCGGATAATGTTGATAGTGCTAGCGTCCAGCACGTTAAAGTCTGGCAGTCAGACCATCTCCTCTGTCTTTAGCCAGCCAACACCTACATGGAAAGATGTACGTGATACCTTTAGTTGGCACGGCAACCGACAGCTCTTCCACCAACCAGCAGCTCTCTGGTGTGACACCGTTATGACCCAGCTTAGAAAAAAAGACAGGAGCGGTGTGAAATACAGACAGAAAAGGGAAGGTAAGAGTGGGTTAGAAACATTTCTCAATTTTGTTTGATCTAGGTACCAGAAGGAACGGCTGGAAATAATTATCCTGAGTAAAAATGGCTTATGTAAATTGTTTTTTTAACTTGAGTGCAGGAAGCAGCAGAGGAAAGATGTTTTCACAGATTTAGAAACACAGACAGTCGCAGATTCTCACTTCCACCCTCTTGACCTCTTCAATGTCAGTTCCATAAGACACAAAGTGCTCCATGGTGCCAGCCATGAAGCATTTCCTTCCCTTTGGCAGGTCGAGCCACAGTCAATCTGTCTCTGTCTCATTTGGGCCAATAGTGATGACATAGACCCTGGCTGTGGTGCTGGCATCACGTTCCTTCCCCGTGGACAAAGTGAAGTGATATAGGATGACTATGGGAAAGAGATGAATTATATCTTTTAGTGTTTTGGCTGAACATTGCTGTGACTTGGTATGGAGCAGTTATCAATTATACTTCTGTTTGAAGGTGGAGTTTTCAATAATAAAAAACAACAACAACAATGAAGTCACACAATAAGAAACATATTGATCAGTTTGGTGATGGGTTTATCATCACTTCATTTCCCTTATCCCATTAAAATTGTGTACAGAACATGTAATGGTTGTTTCAGGGTATATATCTCATAAGAGTAATAACATTAAATGTATAAATCTGATACAGTTCTTAACTAGTTATGTACCGTATTTTTCATTATAAGGCGTACTATCAATGAACGGGAATATTTTCATACATAAAGCGCACAGGGTTATAAGGCGCATTAAGCGAAACAATTAAGCGGAACAATCAAGCATGTCCGGATCCCTCTCATCAATATCCGAGTCAGTCTCGTTGCTGTTAATTAGTTGTTCAGTGATGATTCCGGCCTTCGTGAAAGCTCGGACGACATTAGAGACTGATAACTTAGCGCAGGCATCCACGATCCATTGGCAGATAGTGGCGTAAATCGCCCGGCGTTGCCTCCCTGACTTGGTGAATCTGTGTTCGCCTTCTGTCATCCAATGCTCCCACGCAGCTCGTAATTTAACTTTAAACGCCCTGTCAACACCAATATTTAGCGGTTGGAATTCTTTGGTTAATCCACCCGGAATGATGGCAAGGCCTGAATTAGTTTGCTTCACTTGAGTTTGACAAAATCGCTGAGATGGGCGTGCATGGAGTCGCAGA